AATCACGAACCAAACCAAGTAGGTCATTCTAGTGTTTGATAACTTCATTTTAACCTGTTAGAGCGCACTACAAATGGCTTCTAAGCTGGATTGCGATTGAAAACTGAATATCTAGGTATATTGAATATGCTTACTGCATGCATACATAGTCTAAGTTAATGCGTACACTAAAGAACTAAACAGAAATGAACCAGTCCTTGGAAACACAAAGATTCAATGTTCGAAACCATCCAATAATATCTTCACCTCATTACAGTATGGATGAACTGATAAATACATGCACAGTTCTGAACGGTCTCATAAGCCACATGAGACACTTTTTGCATTTTTTGTAAACAAAGTGCAGTACAGTACTAGTGCACCTTCATTTATTCTGTGCATACATGTGGTTACCTTCTCTTCCTACTATAGTGTCATCGTGCAGCTGCTTTCAAATCAGGTGCTTTTCACTTGCAAGGTTTTCAGTTATCTATCCAGCTGTAAACAAAATATGCGTTATATTACCGTATTTACTCGCGTAATCCTCGCACTCTCATTATTCTCGTACCCCTCCTCCCCACATCGCCCAACAAAAATGCCATTTCTTTTTTTTTTCCTCGAGTAATTATCGCACTCCCGGAAACTGCTGCAATAATGTCGTCTGCTCTTTCCAGCCACTGATGATGATAGCGCATGCCATCTAGCACCATCTCTTAAGCATCAAGCAAACTATTGCACAGAGATCCAATCCAATCCAAGCTAAGCCGAAGTGGTCAATGCATGTTGCGGCGTGTTTTGTATGTTGTGTCAATAATCTTGTCACATTATGAGGCGATACTGAAGCTGTACGGCTGCTTTCAAAATGCAAGTGATAGATGATCCACTAAACAACGGCAACAGGGCCGCCGGCAGGCCCTTCGGAGTCTACGAGTTTTGCGACTGCAACTGGTGACGGCAGCTGAAAGCCACCAAGACGAGTTGGGCCTGTCATGTGCCTAAAACTGGCATTGATGGTGAACTTTATTTCTTCAGAAGGAAACTGCGGACGATTCTGTTAAGTAGTCATCAGCCCAATACTGACATCCCACACTTACCTTTTGAGGGTCTCTGTTGAGTGGCAAACGCTACCGCTATGCTAGCAACGTCCGCAAGCTTTGCTTATGGTATTCTAATTCTCAACGATTTGCTTCCACTTTTTGTGTCTCAAATAAATCTTGTCTTGTGTTGAACCTCAGCTTTTATTGTTGAGGTAAGTTTTAATTAGTACTTCTTAAAGCTTGCTGTTAGTTGCTGGTGTGAGAATCTCGATTTGTGGCCACTTCGTTTTCTTTTTCGCTCTGTATGCTTTCGTAAAAAGTTTTCCCCGCGTAATTCTCGCAACCCCCAACTTTGCATAGATTTTCTGGCAAAAAAAGTGCGAGGATTATGCGAGTAAATACGGTAAACTGTAAAACGAAGGAGAAGCGCCATTGTATGTCTATAGCTATGAGTAACAGAATGAACTAGAAATTGAGAATATGTGTGTTAAAATGCTTTGAAACAACCTATGTGCTACTGAGCGTGGCAGAGAAGCAGAGAAAGTGAGAAGTGAAATAGCAGGAAACACCAGCAGAAATCATGGAACTTTCTTTTTAGATCACCACAGCAATGCACGTTCGAGTTTCTATCTTGTACGTGAATGGAAATGAGACCGCTGATAGCCGAGTATGTCAGCGTCGGTGGTACCCGACAAGAAGTCACATCACACTGCTACCAACCAGCACAAGCTTGTTATTAGCTAGGCAACACACAAAAACAATTTTCACCTAAGCCAACGAATGTTTCAGCGCCGTACAATCCCCGGATACACTTATATAAGTACGTCCATTTTCACATCACCGAAATGTGTTGGCTAGTGAAAGGTTCGCTTTCAGCGATGATGAATACCGATGTTGAAAACAAACACAGTGCAGATAACTCCGTATGCACTATGCGATGTTTCGGGCATCGTATATAGTGTATGTTGCAACGGAAACTACCATCGATTTTTTTCAGCCGATGTTCCTCGCATGAGCTGGTTCATACGAACTTGATGGTAGGGACCTACGCTGGATGCAGATCACACCGCTCTGAATATCCTCCGCGGTAGGCGAGGGATCACACTCAAAGCTTCGAACCTTCGAAGTATGTTTACACTCGTTTTTGGCACAGAAAATCACAGATCAAAGCACAAGAACACCGACATGCTCTAGTAGCCTGTACGATGTTTTCACTCGGCCCACGATCGCACTCGGGACCGGTGCAAGCGCAGCCGGCTGGCATTCGCTGGATTTGTTGGTGTTGCTCGAACTCTGCACAAAACCGCGTCACGCTCGTAGCACTCGCAGTCGTTCGTCATGTCGTTATCATCACAGATGCCGGTGGGTTACCTTCGTTTGTGTGCTCTTCTATGGACCTAAGGCTATGCAGTAATAGCAAGATTTAATAATACCATCTCCAGAAACTGAAATGAGAAATTTAGATTAAGTTACTAAACTCTACCCTTCAAACGAGAGCTACCAGCAATGAGTGTGTAGCTGAGGATTTTTGTCGTTGCATCGCCAATAATAATAATGATAATAATAGTAATAATAAAAGGCATGACAGAAACTGGCAAGCCTCTACTAATGGCAGTCCTATAGTCAAACCAGAAGGCCTTCAAGCCGACACGAATCTTGGTTCAGACAAACATGCACAAATTCAACGAGGTGAGTAATGTTGTGGTCGGATATGCTGTGTGATATTTAGAAGCAACAGACATAAGTGTATGCACGAACTTGGAAGTTAGGGAACGCTTAGGCAACGTCAAGGACAAGTTGCCAAACCAAAATTTCCACAGTTTTTTTTTTTTAAGGCTGCTATGATTGTGACAACCAGTACATCCCGGTGAGATCACCGATTTCAAGGAAAGAGTTAGACAAAATACTAATATTACGTCCGGAAACTACGCGTGACCTCGTACGACTTCGCGAGGCATGTAGAATCTACAGGCCACCAAACTGACTGGTCAAGTGCGTGTGTTCTGGCCAAAGAAAAGCTTACATCATGCCTGCAGTTGCAATAACAGCCAATGCAGACAACTGCACATATGCTGAACAGGAGTGATGGGGCACTTCCAACAATGTACTTCCGGTACTTTGGTCCCATACTTAGACTTCCTCAAATACGCCGTGCCTTTCTTATGGCTATAATTGTGAACAAAACTCCCATAGCAGGTGCTATACAGTTAAACCTGCTGTTAACGAACCTTCATTCAATGAATTCCTGGATATAACGAAGTTTTTCTATTTCCTGCCGCCCCTCTATAGAAGCACATGTATTTGCGACCTCTATGTAACAAAGTAACTGAGAGAGATCACCTTGATATAATAAATTTTTTCCACGAACAATCTACGAAACTTGCTCCGCATTGCGGCATTTTGGTACCAGCATGCATCTTCCGCCGATGCCGAGCCGCCGCAGAAGCGGTGGCGGCGGGCACGCGAGCCACACGTTACGAGCTAGCGTTACCCCCGTTCTCGCTGCCAGGGTCGCATGCGCGGGTGTGCTTCCCCCCACTCCAAACCAAAATTAAACAATGTGCTTAATTTTCTGATGGTCGTACAGACTGCATCAATTTCCATGACTAGGCCAGTTTATTAAGTGTGAATACACTTTATAAGCGACCCCAAACCATCCACCACCGTCGGCGGCGTCCGCAGTCTTCTCTCTAACTTTAAAAGAAAGAGGACTTGGCGGGCCGCAGCGCGACGCTTTACCGAATAAGCCACGGACGCGACGCTGATATCGGTGTCAGTAACGCGCCTTATACCCCCTTCGCTCGCTCCTCCGCTCTCCTCGCTCGCTGCAGCTGCGCGCGCACCCCTCTCTCTCGCACGCCCGCCTTCTCTCTCAGTCTCCCGTCGAGAGCGGGTCGTGAGGGGGAGTAAAGTTAAAATCCGTTGGCATTCGCCAGTGAGTTAACGTAAACTCCCCCGTGTGATCAAATTGCGATTCCCAGGAACCATTACACCATAAAGGCACCATAGAGTGATTAATGAATATAATAGTGCGAATTAATAAATACCCCTCATAGCATCACCCCGTGTATTCGCACTTAACCATGTTCACCCTCGGGGAAATGCTTGGGAGTTTTTCAGAAATTCCCCGACTTTTCCAGAAGAATCCTAATTCCCCGACATTTAAAGGTTTTGAAGGTTTTCTAGGTTGGTAGATACCCTGAGGACCGGACATGCCTACTAACTGGGCACCGCGAGAATAGCTCTCCTGAAATGCACGGGTTCGTTCGCTGCCGCGACGGTGGCGTTGTGATGGTCGCAAAATGCTGAAAGCTCCCGTAATGTGCCATGTTGGTGCAGGTAAAAGAAGAACAGACCGCTTTGTGAAATCCCACCTAACAGGTGAGATGTATGCATCTTTTTTGTTACCGGCATCAAGTTTTGTTTGCTTGGTTCCATGGAGCCACCAACTTTTCCAACCCCAACGGTCAGCGGCAGCAATTGCCAAGACACTTGCAAACAATGAACCATAGCCTTAAATAGAACAAAAATTGCTCGTTCCCAGGAGCAACATGAAGCATGGCATTATTTGAGATTTTTTTTTTTTCAGGCATGACCATTTTTTAGAGCTGTTAGATTTTTTTGAACTATTTCGCAGTCTCTGCCAGAGACGAAAAATCTGGTCAGCAACTGCATATACCATAGCACATTACTTTGGATGCGTTTGTGAAATTTCTGCGTAATTGGCGCAACCCCTTTTCAGTGCTCCAAAATCACGAAAAAATGTGCACAAATTATACCAGTAAATATAGTAATCCTAAAGCAGTGCCATAAAGCCAACATGCATATTTGAATTTACACTAAAAACACAGTACCTTCTTTAGATGTTTTATACAGAATTAAACAATTTATTGAATACCAGTTTTTACACAGTACCCCTATGAAATAGAAGTGGGTGTACTTGCAATGTCAAACCTCTTTCTACTTTTTGTGAAAAAAACTTACGATTTCGAGCCAGTAATTGTCCAAGTCTGTAGTCCTCTGGCTTTTGTTCAAGTTGAACAGCCACCGACCTCCTTGCTTATTGCGGCTATCTTCCCACATGGGCTTGATACCATGCTGTAAAAGAAATACCAGTCTGTAAAAAGGAGCCAGCCAGCCACCCATACAAGGTGCAAGTCAACCTGTCTTAGCAACCATTCACATATGCTTTGGCATGCAGGGGTGCAACAGCCATATTAAAATTTGCAGCTATGTTTGGAGAAGCAAAATATTACTTTTGGAGGACTAAAATTTGAATTTGGAGCAGTATAAAAAAACAAGGCTTACATTTAGAAAAAAATACATGTACAAAAAACCCAACCATCTAAATCATGCAGAAAGAACACGGGAGAACACGGGCACTGCTATTTCAATAAAAGTAGAACAGTATATAGCGCATATAATGTAAGTCGCGGGAGTCAAATATTCACACTATGGGTTGTATTCACGTGAAGTCAGCTTGGAGGGCGCAGCAGCGAAAAGTGCGCCAGCTGTGCTGGAAACCGCGTGGCCACCATTTTGAAGGTCACCATAGCGGCGGCAGGCGGCATACCGGCAGTCAAGTCCAGCGCTTCCAACAGGTGCACACAAGTTACTGCGGGCACGTTGCTCTCGTTCTATTTTATTTAGATTTAGAACGTATGAAATTTACCATTTGTGAAGCTGCTGCAGCCATGAGCAATGTGTGCTAGGCTCGCTTGAGCGTGTACACCGAGAAATTGAACGCCGATGCTAAACAGCGACACACGGACAAAGTGGCTCTCTGCAGTGCGAGTTGACCCACTCCTTCTGACAAGCGAGGAAGATGCATTTGACACCTGACTTGTTTCGAAGGGTTGGTGCATATACAACAAGTTCTGTGATTCTGTGATTTTAACGACTCAAGGCCAAGAAATCATTGGATGCTTGAGTAGTGGGTTTGTCCACGAACCTTCGCTGAAAAGTGATGGTGACTGCGTCGCTGTGGGCGCAAAGGTAAGATAATCTGAAGTATATTCTATCTGTAAGCTCTAAGGTCGAGTTTACCCATGAATTTCATACTAGTGCGATGATTTACGAATCTAATTGAAGCAGTGGATTAACAGCGCTTACGAACTTGCATGTGAAAACACCATTGCATGGGGCAGATTAGATTGTGGTAAAGTGCACACGAGACTTAAATTTGGACGTGGTTGGCTCAACCACAGCTTTTACCAATTGGATTAAAAGTATCAGGAGCATTAAATTATTCACTAGACCAAGGTTACAAGCCACCTGTGCTTTGACGCAAGTGTACTGAGCCAGGTCACCTTGGCGAGAAAAACAAAAACGTGTGCTCTCATTTAGGCTCATAGTGCACCGCACATGTGTTAATATAAATAGTCCAACATTGAGTACTCCACAGTTGTTTTTTTCACAGACGTCTCTGCCAGAGCATTGAAACTGACTGCATTTACCGTGTTATTGCGATTTTTCTATGTTCGTGTTTCGTTCGCATCTCAATTTCTCAAATCTGTCAGAATCCAAACTGAACTGAATTTTAATTCGCAAGTGAACCACTCTCAAGCAGTCGCCCCACAGCTTTGTTAGAACCAGCCTGGCGAAGACAGCGGAATCACTTGCCATGACGCTTCACCGCAACCTGCAATATACGGCTACATGACTGCGAACAACGTTCGGCAAGGAATAAAATTTAACTGGTTTCGAGTTTTCAGGCTCATCACCCTTCCATTTTGTGTGATGGCTGCACACAAATACGGCACAATAAATCGTGATAATGAATGGTGGGCGCAAAAAATTGCTCAAACTTAGTATCACGCAGAGGCACACACATGTGTACATGGCCCTAGCCATGGCGGCTGGAAGTAGTGCCTTCTCTGCATTGCTCGCATGCTGTGTGGATAGCCAAAAGTAGGCTGCGGAAGCACAGGGTTGTTCGGAGGTGAATACCACCTATAAGGCGTACCGCACTAAAACCAAAACAACCTTTTTCAAGGGCCACAATTGTGCAAAATGTGTTTAGCATCCTCATGTGTCTGAGAATCAAAGCATGCGGTGTATAGTGCATACAAGCACATAAATTTAACAATTAAATTTAATGTCTAAACATATGCCTGGCCAACAAATGAACGCGAAAGGGTGGGGGGGGGGAGGGGAGATTGATTTGTGGGGTTTAACGTCCCAAAACCACGCACCATATGATCATGAGAGACGCCGTAGTGGAGGGCTCCGGAAATTTCGATCACCTGGGGTTCTTTAACGTGCATCCAAATCCGAGTACACGGGCCTACAACATTTCCGCCTCCATCGGAAATGCAGCCGCCACAGCCGGGAGGGGGGGGGGAAGGGGAGGTATAACAAAACTGCACCATCGCGCAAACTCTCGGACTACTTCTCAGACCACCTCGATTGATTATGCGCATTACACAGAAATTATGTCAAATCAAGTCCAGAATTTAACACGCTGAAAGACGCCAATCATTCGATTTCACGGGCGCGCACCCGATTTCAGGATATTTCAATGAAATCTCGAACCACCCTTCTTGCACTATACATGCCACCCTCATTTTCATTAACGACATGCACCCCTTTACGTCAAGTGCAGCCACTGCAAAGAGTTTCGTTGGTTCCATACCAAACCGCAACTTATAGATAGCACGCGACCACTACTGAAACGCATGTAGCGCCAATTAGGCCTAGCCTTTCATTTGATATGTTGTCGCGGGAAGTTTGTCCAAGACATGAAGATTCAATGTCAAAAAGATCGCACTCATGCACTTAACCAACAACAGCGTTGTAATAATACACAGTACTAGGCTGGGGTGTCAGCCATCTTCTTTATTTCTAACCTCTTCCTCCTCCTCGTCTCCCTCCAACCCTGCCTCAAGTCCACGTACACTCCCCCTCTTTGGAGACTCATCCCTCCTGGGGTGATACTTGAAAACGTTTCTAATGGTCGCAAACTCCAGCACACCATCATCGTTGGTGTAACCGACCCTTTTGAGAACGCCATGTTGCACTGCGATCTGCACCACGCGATAAGGTCCCATGTACACCTGCTTTGTGCCGGGAAGGCCTTTTCTGACAAGCACCGGATCGTTCAGTTGTATCTGAGGTACCCGCGTGTTGTGGCGACGGTCAAAGTTCCTCTTCATACTTTCCCGGTATCGCTGGTAGGCTTCCGAAGGTTTTCGTTTTTCGCACAATTGCAGGCGGTCTGCAATGCAAAGTTCTTGATCAGCAGGAAGCACTGGTACCTTTCCGAAAGCTGCAAAATATGGACTACAGCCGATGCTCGCAGTGTGCGACCGATTGTGATGAGCGACAGCTGCCTCCAAGCAGCACTTCCATCCACCCTGAAAACCTGGATACATGGAAATGAACTGCTTCAAATCCCGAATGATTCTTTCAGCCATGCCATTTCCTGCAGGATGGTACGGAGCGCAGCGTCGCAATACAACTCCTCGTTCCTTCGCCCAATCTTGCAAACGCTGCCTGAGAAACGCTGGCCCATTGCCTGATATTACTATTTTTGTATTCTTGAACATCTCTGGACTCAAAAGAGCGATCACATTATTTGCGTCTTCCCTTCCCGGCCGTGCAGCCACTATTCTTGTGCACTGGTCTACTGCCACTAGGAAAGACTGCGTTCTTCTTACTCCTGCAGCCTTATTCTTGAGCTCTGCGAAATCCAGATGAATGACTTCAAATGGTACATCGGAATGTTGAGGCAAAACCATCTCGTCTGTTCTCTGAAGGTACTTGGCTTTGTGAACTTGACATTGATGACAAGACTGAGCATACCGTTGAACGTCCTCTTTCATGTGTTTCCACTGGAAACGCTGACGAATCTTGTAATATGTCCTCCAAAAGCCATCATGTCCACCTGAGTGTGGGGAGTCGTGATAGAGTTCCAAAATTCGAGGCACCATTGTTTCTGGGACTGTGAACTTTCCATTATGGAACTTAAGTTCTTCGGTTCCCTCCCACAACAATGTTGCATTGACAAAGGATATGGGTGTTGCAGTAGGTCTCCAGCTTGCAAACGGGCGTCGTTCCTCAGCTGGTGTGGCCCCGGTATTCCTTGCAGCAGGTGTCATGGGTTGACGCTGGGTTTCTAGGTCCTGGAGGTAGAGGTTTCGCATTCCCTGCAAAAGTTCTTCGACCATCTTGGGTCCTCGCATTTGTATTTGCTTCTAGAGGTCCGGACTTAAACCAGGAATGATAAGCGGAACCACAGACGTCTCAGGCAAAGATGAGTCCGCCAGCTGTAGCAAGCACCTTTTCTCATAAAAATAGCTGAGTGCAGATCCAGACCTGTATTTGAACGTGATTGATTGATTGATATGTGGGGTTTAACGTCCCAAAACCACTATATGATTATGAGAGACGCCGTAGTGGAGGGCTCCGGAAATTTAGACCACCTGGGGTTCTTTAACGTGCACCCAAATCTGAGCACACGGGCCTACAACATTTCCGCCTCCATCGGAAATGCAGCCGCCGCAGCCGGGATTCGAACCCGCGCCCTGCGGGTCAGCAGCCGAGTACCTTAGCCACTAGACCACCGCGGCGGGGCATTTGAACGTGATTGCTTTGTCCCATAGCAACACCTTGTTCTCGCTGAAGGAGCTCAGAAAGCTTGCTTTCCACTCTGTCCATGGTTTGTTGCTGTGAGCGTTGAGACGCCATTCGTACCAACTCTTTGCTATGCCCGATAGGAATAGTCGCATGTTTTTCACTTTATCTTCGTCGCTGTGCCAGTAGTTTTCATTGCATGCATATTCGTAAAACGTGAGCCAGGACTCGGGACTATTAGACTCTCCGTCAAACATGTCTGGCTTCACTTGTTCGTGACTCGGTCTGCTTAATCTTTCCGTCGCGTTTACAAGCAAGCGCAATAAATCATTTTGCTGCCTATTCTGTTCTTGGTGCAGTTCAAGAAACTTGTTGATCAGCTCGACGGAACTGTCGGGCGAAGCAGCGGTAGCAGGCTTCGCGTCGTTTCTAACTGGAGTCAGCACGAAATTCTCATAATCCTGAAGTTTCATGTTGATCCTCACCGTTCTTTTAGCAAGTAAATGGTCTGGAGTGAGCTTCAT